TTTTGCAAGCCACTGTACAAATCCCTTTGAGGATGTGTCAGGAAGAGTATCCAGTGTAAAAACTACCCACTGTGCCACCCACTTCTACTGTAAGCATGTTAATATACTGACAATATCATCAAAGCTCAACTCTTCCTACGTTCCAAGAGACTGCTAACCTGGATCTATTCTTTTTCACATCTAAGGTCGTGGCCAATGAAATGAAATTATATCTTGCGAGTAACAACTAAAAAACATTTTTAGAGAAAAATACTTTGTATACTTTTATTTTAGTCATTTTCATCATTTTAATTAATTAAAGTAGCATCTGTGCTATAAAGTCTGCTTATCTTCGACTTACCTGTTAAGTTGTATCGATCACTGCGAGGAGACAAAGACCTGGGTTCCCTCTTCAAAGTGTAATCACAGCTGGCATCTTTTTGTTGAACAAAATGTAGATGTCTCAAAAAATCATCAATTGAGACATAAAACTGGCAGAACCTCTGTTTGTTTTTTGTCTTGCTTTTCTTCCCGACAGCTACTGTGAGGACTGAATGACTTGCTTCTCCAAAGTACAGATTACATCTTGTATCATCTTTCACAGATCCAGGCAGAGAGCAAACAAACCGAACATGTTCCCCATTAAAATGCTGCACACTCATCTGTGGTGTTTGACCTACATGAAGATTAATGGAGTCCCATTAATATGCAAGAATATTGTATGTTTTACCAGCACAACAATAACAATACTGGTGTTCATAAAAGCTGAACTGCAACACATTTTGTAATTAACTGTAACTGGTCATGTTTAGATTCCTGCGTGCTGTCTTTGGTGGTTTAAGAAAATATGTAAGAACAACACTCCTAAAAAAGTTTTGTGAAAGAAAACATGAAGCTTTATAAAGATAATAATGTCTAACACACTGTATGATAACTTATCCAGTCACAGGAGGAGCAGTCTCTCACTTTGTATGGTGATGGAGGATGGTTCACTGTCAGCAGACGTTGAATTAAGGTCTCCAGTGTAAAAACATCTCACTTTAACTTCAGCAGGTGAACTGTGATGTGACATTAACAGCAGTTCTGTTGCAGTGAAATTCTGC